TTTACAATATTAGCTTACACAAAATATTAGCTTTAACAAAATTGGGGCTGCAATACAAATGTTACAGGCTAAATTTTATCCTTAAGTAACTTGGAGTATCTGGGTTTTTGTTGTTGTTGTTGTTTTTTTTTTTTTTTTTTTTTTTGTTTAGACAGGGTCTCACTCCATTGCCCAGGCTGGAGTGCAGTGATGCAATCATGGCTCACCACAGCCTCGACCTCCCAGGCTCAGATGGTCCTCCCACCTGTGCCTCCTGAGTAGCTGAGCCTACAGGTGTGTACCACCATGTCCAGCTAATTTCTGTATTTTTTGGCAGAGATGGGGGTTTCATCACATTGCCCTGGCTGGTCTTGAATTCTAGGCTCAAGCCATCTATCTGCTTTGACCTCCCAAAGTGCAGGGTTTACAGGTGTGAGCCACCGTGCATGGCCAGAGTATCTGTGTTAATTCTTTCTGGCCATTATTGGAAAACTATGATCTCAAAGTGATTGAGTAGATGGCATTAGAGTCATCCAAGATTTCACCCACCATTTTCAATTTGTTTTATAGATTCCCTTTCATTAATAACTCAGTTCATCGTCCCTTCACCATTTGCACTCTGAGCCTTGTTTTTGGTTCTCATTCTTTGTTATTATTGCAAAACTACCCCTAAGTTCCTCACTTCCAATCTGGTCCCTGTGCAATCCAATCCTTTACTATTGCTAGAGTAGTTTTTCTAAAACATAAACCAGATCATATTAACTGCCCTCTTAAAGTTATTTAGAGATTCTCCAGATCTTTTATAACAGTCAATTATTTATAAGTTCAAAAATATTTTTATGCCTTTAGCATTGTCCAGGAACATGAAGTGTAGCCCAGGTGCCAAATCCAAATGCTTTAGTCAGGATATGGTTTCACCATGATGTGGTTTCTCAAGATACCTCCAGCCACACTTCTTCTCAGCCTTCACTCATGTGAACCAGTATGTAATTTGAAGAATGTGGGATGAGTAAGATCCATGTACAAACTGAGGCTTACTGGTAGTCCAAATCATTAACATGCTAGGAAAAATTGTACATGAACTTCTGCATTATAATGACATCCTTCTCCTATTATCAATCCTCATGAGCTAATTTACATTTCAAAAACTCATGCTGGCAGCAAGACATACAGTATCTTCTGTTTCTTGCAGTGTGATGGATTAGAGCCCTGGAACAATCCTCCTGCTAAGAAATACCAAAAATGGTGGAAGAAATTTTCCAGAAGCTTTGTAGAGGTTAAAGGAAAAAAAGCTAGAATTAAAGAAAACTCTTAAAAAGCAACTGCTATACAAATAAAAATGGAAAGCAAACTTTAAATCATCAGAAGAAAATTCAATCTACCCAATAGAAAACAAGAAAGGAAAAAATGAGAGTACAGTACATATGTAATATGTCCTATGATTAACTCAATTTTCTCTGCATCTGAGGCAAAAAAAAAAAAAAAAAAACAAAAAAACTTCCATCAACAAACTCTTGTAAAAGGAATTTCTAAGGAAAAAAGAAAAATTATCCCAAATGGAATAGCTGAGATGCAAGGAAAAATGCTCAGTAAAAGAAATAATAAATGTGTGGTAAATACAATCACTGACCATATATAATAATATGTATAATGGGCAGGGTGCACTGGCTCACACCTGTAATCCCAACACTTTAGGAAGCCGAGGTGGTCAGGTCACAAGGTCAAGAGAGCCAGATCATCTTGACCAACATGGTGAAATCCCGTCTCTACTAAAAGTACAAAAACTAGCCAGATGTGGTGGTGCTCACTGGTAGTCCCAGCTTCTCAGGAGGCTGAGGCAGGAGAACCCCTTGAACCCAGGAGGCAGAGACTGCAGCGAGCTGAGATTTCACCACCACACTCCGGCCTGGTGACAGGGCAAGACTCGTCAAAAAACAAAACAAAACAAAATAATATGTACAATAATAGCACCTAATTTGTGCACTTACACAAAGATAGAATATTCTAAAGAAGAGGTCCTACCTGTATTTTCCCTTGTAGCTGTGAAGTGTTTAATATTTTCTAAGTCCTTAATATATTAGTGAAGGAGTTAAAAACATACCACTCTAGCATATTGACTATTTTGAGTCAAACACACTTGAAAAACAGCAGGTGCAAGATCATTCTGATCTTCCATTTCTTAAAAGTAGAAGAGGAAACTCCCATGTTGAAAGATGCCCTCCCTATGCTAGAAGGAAAGCAACATTCTTGTCATTACGGACGGGAAGCTGAGACCAAGAGAATTCTGTACAGACCTTGTTAAAATAACTCATCTTTTCAGCCTTTCCAGATATTTAGTTACTTTTAAACAACTTACTATTCTTTGTGCAACTCAGTATATGAGAAATTGATTCTAATTGCTTCTTTGGGTCTTCATTTACATTTAATTCCAATTTAAATAAATTTGTGTGCTTTTCTCTTGTTAAACTGTCTTATATGAACTTAATTCTCAGACCCAGCTTGAGGGAGAAAAAAACTACAGGGGAAGAGGTAAAGTTTTGCCTCCCCTAAACCAGGCACTTTCCAAGCCAGGTACTGTGAGAGACACAAATCACTAAAACTAGGACATGATCTCTACTCTAGATGGCATGACACAGATTATAATATAGTGTGGTAGGTGCTGTAATAGACACTGAAAGAAATAAATAACCTGCACTCTCACATACATTTCAGACTATTTAAGAATACATACTTAAAAGATAGACACAAAAATACACCTAAAACATTGTAAGTATACTTTTCTTGGGGTGGAATATAATTTTTTCCCTTATTTATACTTGTATACATTCCTCAAATTTTCCATAATGTCATATTAATTTCTAGAATTAGGTAAAAGTTTTAAAATTACATGTTCACAAAAGGAAAAACTATCCTGTTTGAGTTGGAGCTCTTTAAACTCATGTCTAAGCTGTTCATTTTTCTTTTCATAACCATGAGACAATGCTTCTCTTCCCTCTGTTAGGTTACAAATATAGTTTGTATAATTTTCTACCTAAAAAGAAAATAACACATTTTCTTACTTTTAGTCCATGGCTCATATTTTAATCCATATTAAAAATCCAGGAAGTGAAAGAGCAATGAAGAGATCACCATTCTATCATGACTATAATCAGAGAAATCAACAGAAAACTCAAGTGTTGGCATCTGGCCCTAAACTTCCTTCTAGCTGTCTTACATTATCATACATTATGTTTCCCATAGGTATGATGATATATAACCACAAATTTCTGCAGCAGTCCCAATCTCTAATATTTTTTTCTATCATACCAGGTTTCAAATCAAGTCTCCCTATCTGTGATTTAGGAAATATGGTCATGATATCCACGAACAGAGAAAAATCTACATAAGGTTTATAATACTATGTTAAAACTGATGGCTAAGATGATTAAAATGTTAACAAGGGATTACATTTAAACGAATTGTTAGGTATTCATTGAAAATAGTTTCCAGTTGATATAACAGCTTCACAAAGTTACTTTTATGTGAATAATAAGTGGAAAGCTCATCAGATGCTCCAGGCACTATATGAAGGACATGAAGCTAATCATATGCTCCAGGCACTATATCAAATATTTAATTGTCATCACAACCACAGAAGACTATTATTCTTCCACTTTGGAGGTGAAGAAGTAGGCTTAGAGAGGCTGAGAGACTTGCCTTGTCCCATAGGGAATAAGGGAAGGAGCTAGAATTCATACTCTGATGGGTCAAAACCAGAGACTGACTGACTTACTATGCCAAAGTGCTTAGAAGTAGACTACCAAAATAAATGAATTCCATTTTGGTAAATTCTTTGGAAGCCTATTGGAAAACTCCTTAAAATATGTACAAAAAGTTGAATAGTATAGAAGGAACACAGGAATCACAGTCCAACTTTATCACTTCCTGGTAAGCTTTAGTTTCCTCTTTAAAAGGGCAGGAACAATATCCATTTCTAATGATAATAGCTATAATTTATTGAATACTTGCTAGGTGCCAAGTACGTTTGAAATTTATACACACTGTATAAATCTCACAAATGTCTTTGAAGATGCTATTAACATCTCCATCTTACAGGCAGAAATTTCAAGACCAAAACAGTTGAGTAACTTGCCCAGGGTTACACAGAAAGATAATGCTAAAGGCAATTTTTTACCTCCATCTGTCTAATGTTAAATTTCACACTCTTTGATATTATACTGCTTTTCATTTTAAAGGAGCTGCATTTTTCTTTAGAATTTGGAAATTGGATTGTCCTTTAAGAATAAAATTGAAAAATACTACCTGTGTGAGCTGAGATGTGAAAACATAGCAGAGTGATTCCCAGGCAACCTGAGATAATTCATTAGTTCATTTAAAGAAAGTATGTAGAAAGTATGTTGATCAGTATCGCAAACAACCAAAAGGGTAACAATAGGGTCAAAAAATAGCTTTATCTACTCATCTAATCACTAGGTGCCTAGGATATGAAGTCCCGAAATGAAGGTAGATATAGATAGCCCTATTGTGGAAACCTGGCTAGCTCAGCCAATGCTATAAAAATTTAGACTCATTTGTTCACCAAGTAAACATCTAATTAAAAGTTGGCTTCCCACATAATGTGCCTGTAAAAGAATACATCAGCCACCAAAAATACATGTTTGGTTCCTCTGACAATTATATTTCTTATCGTCAATTAATAAGGAGGTGTCTCATCTCTATGAGTTTGGTTAATACAAGCCCACCTCTGAGAAGCAGATCCACTGATACTACGCCAACATTAGTTTCTAAGCCTTCAAAGAAAAGAGTCACCCAGAAGGTCAGTTCCTGAGAAAAGGATGAGTTTACCAAGATAATAAAAGCTACCTGGAGCAGTTCTGTGTAGACGTTCAACCAATAATCAATGGGCAACATCTTATACATGTACTATTACTGGAAACCAACACAGATTGTTGCCCTATTTCATTAAAAGAAAAAAAGTCTACATATGGGTGCTTTTCAAACTATAAAGTGATAGTCAAACATTAGTTTTTAATACATCAATTTAATGAAGGGCAATGAACAAAATCACAGGTGTCTGTAAAACTATATGTTATTAGTTCTTACTTCTTTTGTTTCTTCCATGTGATTCACTATAAGCTCTTCTACATTTCTGGTAGCAGTCCTCAGCCCATCTTCACTGTGCTGGCTGGAATAAGCACCAACAGAGTTCTTCTTTAGTAGCAAGGGGATTGATGTCTTCTTTTTCAAGATGGTGAAGTATGTCTTCTAATTGAGCTTTTCCCTTGATAGAAGACATAAACATGTGTGTATGTACACACACACATACACACACATACATACCCATGACTGAGGATGCAAGATATCTATGTGGGTGCCACCTTAGGCTTCTCATTAGAGTACTAGTATTTAGGGTACTAGTAACAGAATGCTAGTAAGCCACCTAATTCTTCATCACACTTATGTATGTGGATGTGTGTGTGTGTATATATATATATATATACCTCTTGGAAGATCCAAGTTATTTCTAAAGAACAAAATATAGCTTACAATACATATACAAAGCTGTTATGTAAGGAAAATTGAAAGCAGGAATAAAGAAATCTAAGTATACATGACTAGAGTCAGACTCTCTACAATGTTTATTTTAGTTTTCTTATTGTTATCCAGTTATGAGCACTTAAATGAAATAGCTGATAATACCAAAAAAACAAAGCTTTTAACAACTGTATATCTTCTAAAATAACAAATGACATGATATATTTAAAGAAAATTATGTACAAGAGTATTTGAAAAAAAAGCTTTGTCTGTTCCGAAGTTTGCAACTTAATAATGTGAAGTCTCCCAAAGGGCTGTTTCTTTTTTGAAGTCCAAAGAAGTCTTTGTTTCTCTTACTGGAAATTTAGAAATAAAAGGACTCCTCTGGAAGCTAGAGAGGTCCCTAATTCTGTACTATCAATATTTATTTTTCTATTTTACTCACAGAATACATCTTACAATTTACGCTGACTTCTTAGTCATTCAGTTCTCTTCTGCAACTTATTTAAGCTTACTATCAATATTGTCTTTAATTTTTTAGGGCAAGCAATCATGACATAACAGTTTGCGCTATGACAGTATGTGAAAGATAAGTATCTGCTGATTGATGAAGCGGTATCTGCACCACCAAAACCACTAACTTTTTTTTTTTTTTTGAGTCTTGCTCTGTCATTCAGACTGGAGTACAGTGGTGTGATCTCATCTCACTGCAACCTCTGCCTCCTGAGTTCAAGCAATTCTCCAGCCTCAGCCTCCCGAGTAGCTGGGATTACAGGCATGCACTGGCTAATTTTTGTATTTTTAGTAGAGATGAGGTTTCACCATGTTGGCCAGGAGTTCATGTCTCGAACTCCTGACCTCAAGTGATTAGAACCACTAACTATGAATAAGACTTGCTGTTCTCATCAAACACAACTTTTAACCAAGTTAATCTGACCCAAATTGCAGTGACAGATGTAATTGTTATCGTACTTCAGTCCACATACGCTATTTTGCTTTTTTAAAAGTAAAACCATATTTTTATTATTTTTCTCCTTGATCACTAAGTTTTCTAGAGTCTTGCCATTTCCACATCAACAGTATTTATAGACGATATATGGTTTTAATTATCAGCTGATACTCATACTGATGAAAAAAAACCCAAGTCTTTTTCATCCTGCACCTCTGTGGGTCCTCCTCAGGATATATAACTAAAAATTTTCTTTTGTCCCCCCATTTCCTTCATCTGGTTTCCACTCATATTCTCCCCATTCACCCCACAAGGTTTCTGTGCATCAGACAGTTAACTTGTGGTTTTAGTCCTGGGTAGCAGAGAATCCAAGATACTAAGAATACATAGCATCCTATGAGGACTGTTTGGCAATATGGAAAAATGCTTATGTGATAATGCTAACAGATAAAGCAGAATGTAAAAGTATTATTATAACTAGACACACAAAGACTGGAAGCAAATACCTCAAAGTGCTAAAAGCCGTTGTGATAAACTAATGAGGTTGTAATTAGAAAATAAATACTTAAATTATTATAAGTCCTGTACTGTGGGTTGCTTGCCCAAACAGCATAATCCCTATGCTGTAGGGGTGGAATAGGGGAGTCTTAGGTTAGAGGAAATTGAAAGGAAAAAAGGATCGGGGATATTGGAAAATGCCTTTGGATTCGATCCTTTCTGATCAGGAGGACAGTGTAGGCTTCAGGTCAATACCCAAGTGCACAAATCACTCAAGCTCCTTCACCTGACCATCTTCCCAAAGCCAGTGATCTTTATTCACCATTTTATTTAACCACCCATCCTCATGGCTACACCTGAGTCCTGATCACAACCTGAACTAATGTTGAAACCCTGCCATCCTAAACTCCGTGTGTCTCCCTCTGCCTAAAACCTTCCATGTATCTTGCCCCTCTTTTTCTTAATTGTTGTAAAATATACATAACCTAAAATTTACCATTTTAACCATTTTTAACTGTTAGAATTCCATGGCATGAAGTATAATCACAATGTTGTCTAACCATGACTATCGTTTCCAGAAATTTTTCATTATCCCAAACAGAAACTCTATACCCATTAAACAATAACTTCTCATTCCCCTCTTCCCGAGCCCCTGGGAATCTCTACTCTACTTTCTGTCTCTATAAGCCTGCCTATTTTGTATAACCCACAGAAGTGGAATCATACAACATTTGCCCTTTTGTATTGGCTTATTTCACAAAGCATAATGTCTTCAAGGTTCATCCATGCTGTATTACTAATCAGAATTTCAGGATTTCATTTCCTTTTAAGACTGAGTAATATTCCATTGTATGTACATACCACATTTCACTTATACATTCATCTGTTGGTGGACCCTGGGGTTGTTTCCACCTTTCAGCTATTGTGAATGAGGCTGCTGCAAATAGTGGTGTAAAAGTAACTGAGTCCCTGCTTTCAATTCTTTGGGCTACATATGAAGAAGTGAAATTGCTAGATATATAATTCTATGTTTAACTTCTTTTTTTGAGGAACTGTCATATCATCTTCTACTGTAGCTGTACCATTTTACATTCCTATCAGCAATGCAAAAGGTCCTAATATCTTACATCCTTGTCAACACTTACTTTGGGTTACTTTTTTTTTTTTTTCCAAAAAAAGTAGCCATCCTATTGGGTGTGAAGCAGCTGCTTTCTTAAAGTAATTCTACAATTACAGTGAGACCTCCAGTCTCTGGACCATTACATCCTCTCTCAAACTATCAGATACCCTTTGACTTCATTTGTTTGCCCCTCAAGCCTAAACCCAACTATGGATCATTTTAATCCTTCACCAACATCTGCAGTTATCTTACCCCTTTGCCCCACCTTCCTTCCAAATCTCAGCCCTGGAAAAGTTAATGGATTTGACAATTTTCCAACTACTTTAGGTTTCTGAGTGCTGGTAGAGAATGAAATCAAACAAGCACTCAAACTTGAACGATTACAAATTCATGGCCTCTGGTCTGAGCCAAGCTTCTCAATCACTGGGTCATTTATGAGTTGCTAGTTTCTATTGCCATTTTACTCAGCAACTATTCAAATGTTCACCTTTCCCATCAAACTGAAAATCTCACCTCTCCCCTCACTCCTGACAAACGACTTTATCTTCCAGAGAACTAGTAAAACTAAGGTCATCATAAAACTGTCAGCTGCTTCTCCTCACCAACATACCAACCTTCATGTTTAACTACCCTGTCCTCTTTCCCTTCTCAGTGGAAGACTTTCCCATCCTCCTGGTCAAGGTTAATCCCTTTACCTGTATTCTAGGCCCCATCCATACTGCTTCCCTAAGAAAGCATTTTCTTTTTTGTGTTCCTTATTTCCTTCTCTACTGATCTCTTCTCAGCTCAAGAGGTCTCCAATCTTAAAGATAGAAAAAAATAACCTTCCTTTGGCCTCACCATATGCCTCTCTAGCTACTGTCCTCTTTTGGACAATTTGTCTCCCACACTCCTATATTTTGGCTTCTGTGTTTGGTTTCCACACTCCCACACTTACTGCATTTTGCCTTCTGCTCTTACCATGGTACTCAAATTATCAGTCAACAATGAACTCAAAATGCCACATCCATAGTTCATTACAGCTTCAAACTCCTGGGCTCTAGTGATCCTCCCACCTCAGCCTCCTGAAGAGCTACGACTACAGGAGTGTGCCACATGCCCATCTAATTTTTAATTTTTTTTTTTTTTTTTGTAGAGACAAGGGTCTTGATATGTTGCCCAGGCTGAAATTGAACACCTGGCTTCAAGTGATCCTCCCATTTCAGCTTCTCAAACTGCTGGGATTATAGGCATGAGCCACTGTGTCTGGCCCTGTTTTTGTTTGTTTCAACATACGATCTCTTTGCCATACCTCTTCACTCCTTCTCTGAAAGTTTTTTTTATTTCTGTTCTGTGATGTCACTTTCTCCTGTTTTGACCCCTACGTCTCTAGCCTTTCCTTCTCAGTATTGTTCCTTGGTTCCGCCTCTTCCATCCCTTCAAAATGCTACCATTTCTAAGAACATCGCCTTTAGCTCTCTGCCCTTCTCACTACCATGTGATTCACAGCTTGGGCACAGGAGTCTAATTTGGCTCAAACCTTGGCTTTGCTACTTGGTAACTGTGTGACTTACACAAGTGAGGTAACTTGTTTAAATTTTTGTTCTGTATGTAGAATAAATGTAATAGTAATGCCTACCGTACTGGGTTGTTTGGAAGATTAAACAAGAATCTCTCTCTACTATGCTCCAGATCAATCTAGAAGTGGCAAGAAACCAAAACACACTGAAGCTGCAACAAATACAGGTGAGTGTGGCAGAAACTGCTGGTGGCCTTTAATATTTACTATTCCCTTCTTCCACAGAAATAAGACATTAAGTTTTTTGGCTGATCACAAGGCTGACTTCCTTACTGAAAGATATAGCCAGGTGACCAAGTTCTGAACAATGGGTGTGAATGGAACTATGTGCTGCTTCCAGAAACTATCGCTTGGGAACATGATGCCCCCTTTTCTTGCTCCTTCCTCCTTTCTACTAGCTGGGATTCAGACAAGATAGCTGAAGCCTGAGCAGCCATCCTGGACACCATAGCTGGAAACCACATGCTAGCTATAACATCAGGAGAGAAGAAACCCGGGTCTCTGCCCATTTCAAGGTGCTTCTCTACCCAATATAGATTGCTTTCTTCTTTCATGTGGGAGGAATACATTTCTTTCTTTTTCAGTGCATTATTATTTTGGGCTTTCTGTCCCTCACACAACCAGCCACTCCCAACTACTGTATGAGGGTTATTGAGTGGATGAGGTATAAGGACATATGCTGGAAACTAAATGTGGCTACACAGAAACTGGATACAGAACTATACAATCATCAACAGTCTCTCCTGAGCCAGGAGGTCTTTTGTCTCTGAGCTTCCCTGTGAGTTTGCTCCTCTTGTTCCTCTACAGAGATGAACTTCCTCTACTTGCTCATCAGCAAGGCTGAAAACAGCTATTCAAGTCCTTAGCCTATGTAACTTTTTAGATTAAGCCATTTCTATCTTGGTGTCTCTTAGTTCAAATTTTTGAGAGAGACAATTGGTTATGCCCCCTTCTCCAAAGCTACCTGTATTTTCCCCATTCAGTCAGCTGTGCATGGAATGGGTTGGAAATAGTACAAATATGGCCCCTGAGGGTCTACTCCTTAAACAAGATTTGCCAGAGAGATGCAAGTTCCAGAGAAGAAGTTATATGCGAGGAGGACAATATAAAATGAGTCTACTATTTAAAACCAATGTATGTCCAGTTGGCTAGCCAACAACTCAGCTTCAACAATCTATTCATCTTTCCCTCCTCCTTCTATATTTCGTAGTTAAAATCACTATCAACATAGTTTTCCAAGCCAGAAACCTAGGAGTCATCTTTGATTCCCCTTCCTATTCCTACTCTGGTATACAACCATTACTGAATTTGCAGTAGTTATTTTATCATTTTATAATTCATTCTCTCCATGTCTAGGGTTACTGCCTTGGTTTAGGCTTGCCTCACTGTTTGCTCACTTTAGTTTAACAACACCCTTAACTGATGATCCTGCTGCAAGGCTGGCCCCCATCCAATCTGTCCTCAGCAAAACTCCAGGCTGATCTTCCTGAATGCAAATCACTTGCTGCCTGACCTTCTCCTTACTTCAGGTAGAGTTCAAACCCCTTAGCTTGGGACCAGAGATTCTTCACAATCTGGTTCCTGCCAGTCTCTCTCACCTTGTCTTTTGCTAGTCCTTGACATTAGCCATTCATGTCAGTATATTTATTGGTCCCCATCATGCTGCTTATATTGCCATAATTTTTGACATTCAGGTCACTCTGCCTGGAACGGTGCTTTGAGATCCCCAAACATTTTCCCAGTGGAGGTATTGAGACCTGATGATTAATTTTTAAATTCTAGTAAACTAGATCTTGAGGTTATATAATTGAATTATAAATGCTCTGACATCTAAACTGTACCTAAAATTGCCACACAACAAAGTAAATAAGAATACTGTTCTTGACCAGGCGCGGTGGCTCCTGCCTGTAATCCCAGCACTTTGGGAGGCTGAGGCAGGCGGATCACCTGTGTTAGGAGTTTGAGATAAGCCTATCCGACACAGTGAAACCTCATCTCTACTAAAAATACAAAAATTAACTGGGAATGGTGGCATGTGCCTATAATCCCAGCTACTTAAGAGGCTGGGGCAGGAGAATTGCTGGTACCCGGGAGGCAGAGGCTACAGTGAGCCGAGATCTTGCCCCTGTACTCCACCCTGGGTGACAGAGCAAGAATCTCTCAGCAACAACAACAAAAGAATACTATTCTGTCCAAAGTAGATACTAAGTAAATGCTCATTAAATCTCTTAAAAATCCACTGTCTGGGAAAAAGTGCATCCGAAGTTGTTTTAGGCCTCCAAAAACTTCTAGATGTAAAGAATAAGGTGGTAAAGCTGTCAAAGCAAACTGAGACAGAGACAAAGAATTTTAAACGAGAAGAGGGCAAGAAGAATGTGTGCAGTCTACTTGTTTTTTCTCCTAGTAGGTACTCTCCAACTGCATTGCAGGGGTCAGGGCCCTAGCTTACGTTATAGCACATCTGCCTCTGAGCAAAGGATGAGCTTTGGATTCCAAGGTCTTTGAGTGACACCGGGGAACAAAGCATATAGCACAGCCACAAAAACAGAAATATCCAATCAGATGACTTTTCACTCTAACCTTTTTTTCTTCTACTTTCCATTCCTTTCACACAAATATAATTTAAAACTCACAGACATCTTAAATACAATACATATTATGCACAGTTTTGCAATTCTCAAAATTAGTACACTCTTTTCAAAAGTTGAAAACAGTGTAGCAATGTGAAAAATGTTTAAAATATAAAATTAAGTGAAAAAGAAAGGTAAAATACATAACTATGTAAAAGTGTACACATCTGAGCAAGACTGACACAGAACAAAAAAATGAATTGTTGATATGTTAGGACAGAGTTTCTCATCCTTGGCACTACTGAAATTCTGAGCTGTTATGGAGGCAGTTCTGTGCATAGTAGGATGTGGAGCAGCATCCCTGGTCTCTACCAACTAGAGGCCAGTAGCACATCCCCAGTTGTGGCAACTAAAAACGTTTTCATACATTGCCAAATGTCTCAAAGGGGGAAAACAACACCCCTTCCCCAGGTTTAAAACTGTGCTAGAATGACAGGATTCTTTTTTTTTTTTTTTTCAAGACAGGATCTCACTCTGTTGCCCAGGTTGGAGTGCAGTGGCGCTATCATAGCTCACTATAGCCTTGACCTCCCAGGCTCAGGTGATCCTCCTACCTCAGCCTCCAGAGTAGCCAGGACAACAGGAGTACTCCACCATGGCTGGCTTATTTTTGCATTTTTTGTAGAGACAGGTTTTTGCCATGTTTGCCCAGGTTAAACATTTTTTAAATTTGTGACTTGCCATAGTAATATTTATTCAATAAACACATATTAGAAGAGGAAGGGAAAGCCCCTTACAATATAGCATCTAACAACCTCTTTTACCAAGAGTTAAGAGTTTATCCAGTTCCAATTTAATGTCCAAGATTGAAAAGGCTGCAGAACTTGTTTTTGTTTTCCTATCTATTCTAAAAGAGAAAGCTGAATTTCTCAGTATTTAAAAACTTGACCTGGTTCACATCACAAACAACTGCTTCGGTTGGCCTGAGAAGTCAAAATATCCAAATAATTATGGCCCCAAATAGCTGTTTAAAATGTCGATGTTCTGCAAATTCTTAAAATAGGTTTACTTTTAAAACTGAATACTGAAGAAGAAATAGTAAGATTCAACAAGGAACGCATATTGTAAGACAAATTAAGTCAAGCTGTCCAAGTTAAAATAAAATTGCACTGGATCTAAATTAATCTTATGCCATATTTACGGCCCTCTGTTCCAGCCTTTTTAGAACTATTGTGTCTGCTCCCTTGCCAAAAATATTTATTTTCAATCACTCCTTATTGTTTTTGTTTCTTGGCTTACATCACAAAGAATGTTTTCTGATTCAGAAACTGACAGGAAAAAGAAGGCACAAGTACTATTTCAATTATCTCCTCTCCAGAAAATTATATCATATCCCCAATGTTGGGTTCATATGAGCTTAAAGGTGAAATCCTGTCTTACATGATCATTTTGAATGCGCTTTTCACATTGATAAACACATCAACAAAACTTAATTAAACAAGGAACAACCTTAGTTCATTATATAAGATAAACATATCAACAAAACTTAAACAAGGAACAACCTTAGTTCATTATATAAGCCTGAAATGGGTCCAATACTGCAATTTTGATTTTTTTTTTCCATTTTCAAAACACACTCGGCTTGCCGTATGTAATGTTTATATTTACCAATGTGCACTTCTCCTAGTCTCTACCCAAGACTGAAAGCTTGCCATAGTGCAAAGAAAGACAGAAAATCTTCCCAATGACTGCAGAGCTGGAGAATGCGAAATACTTAGGTACACAAAGCATTGCAGCAGGAAAGCAGAAGGAGGTGGTCTACAGATGACAGAGGTGGTGGAGACGAATGGACATTCAATAATGTGCAGCGTGAACAGGGAAAGGTTAAAATGGCTGTGAAATAAGCAGGATGAGAAAACGGGTGCTTGGAATGATGAGAGAAGTGGAAAAGGTTGTAGCTTGAAAGGCAGAGGGTAACTGACTTCATGACCTCTGATGTTGAGGATACAAAAGGCCTCCAAATCGTCACCGGGATTCAATGTTCTGCATGATGAACATCGGCCAAAAAATCAGAAACGGCAGTTCTTTGTTCGCGGGCCTACACGCAGGGGAAAGCTGCGCCTCTGTGGACTTTGTAGTGGCCTGGACCTTCTGGCGCTGTCAGGGGCGCGTCTCGAGACCTCACCTTTAAGTGAGAAAAGGAACGCCGACCTACCTCGCTGAGGGTGTTCTAGGCCCGCTCTAATAAAGGGCGGCAGCCTAACACTAAATGCTTGCGGCAGCTGGCTCCGGGGAAAACGGGCGAATCCTACCTCAGGCGGAATCACTCAAGCCCGGGACTAGAAATGCCGGGCCAGGAGGGGCTCCCCTTCTGTAGTTTCGGGCCATACTGGGGAGAGAAGAGGAAAAGGCCCGGAATGCGGAAAAGAGGGGAGAATGGGTGCTTTCCTCCGCAGGAACCAAGTCGGAAATTTTCCTGCGGAGGGTGCCGCGAGGGTCCCGGGGTCGCTTGGTCCCTAGGCGTTCAGCGGCAAGGTGCAGGTGCTGGCGGAGACCCGGACGTCATAGCAACCGCGCTCGCCGCTGAGACGCAAAGGCGTCCTTCCGGCGGGAACCATAGAGACGACGCACGCCACTGGCGCCAGAGACTGTGCTTCTTTAGGAGACTGTTGTTACGGCTCACACCATTGGCAATTGGGCCGGGGGCGGAGTTGTCCCGGCCGTATCGATAGTACGACTCATTCCATTGGCTTTGGAGAAAGCTGTAACCATGGTAACGTCATGTCACGCGTTGGCCATTTAGCAAATGCATTTTGTCTTGGGGCGTTCTAGTTCTGGAAGAGCTTCCCGCCAGGCCTCAGCTAGAGCTAGTAACCTTGAATTTTTTTTTTTTTTTCTGTAAATGCCTTCATTCTTAAACGGGCAGGGAGTGCTAGGTCAAGAGTTCTGAATTTTAGGCCTAGATCGTGTCACTAGCCATGTGGATCATGCAAGATAAATCACAATTTTTGGACCCCGCTTATTATTGTAAAAAGGAAGAAACTGGGCTTGACTAGAATTATCCCTAAGGCTGAAGCCCTTCAGAAGTCCTAACACTGAAAATTCAGCTAAATTGAACCTTATCTCCCCCACTTATGTAATGCAAAATAAAAACTTATGACATAATATTTAACATACTCAATTTACATCATCTTTCTAGATGCTCTTATTGAAATTTTTTAATTATCAAAGCTCAATTTTACTTATGTTTTGGAGGCCCTTGCTTTGCTAGTATTCCAAACACACATTTCTTGGTCTTATTCTAGTTCCCCAGGAGGATACTTTCCAAATCTTTGCTGGTTCTACATGCATTATCTGGACGTATCTTACTCTTTACATAAGTGCCTCAACCTCTCCTTCTGGCACCGGATCTCTTGCAAGTGTTTTTTCTGAACTAAAATGCTCACTATCGCCACCTGTAGCTCACTTAACTCCTGTTTATGAGTTTAAGTATCACCTACTTAGGGAAACATTCCTTGATCCTACATCCAAAATCAGGTTCCTACTTACCCTCATTGACTCATGTTCCTTTTCTCTATACACTTCCATTTGCTGTTAAAACACATACACTCTCGGCCGGGCGCGGTGGCTCAAGCTTGTAATCCCAGCACTTTGGGAGGCCGAGGCGGGTGGATCACGAGGTCGAGAGATAGAGACCATCCTGGTCAACATGGTGAAACCCTGTCTCTACTAAAAATACAAAAAATTAGCTGGGCATGGTGGCACGTGCCTGTAATCCCAGCTACTCAGGAGGCTGAGGCAGGACAATTGCCTGAACCCAGGAGGCGGAGGTTGCGGTGAGCCGAGATCCTGCCATTGCACTCCAGCCTGGGCAACAAGAGCGAAACTCTGTCTCAAAAACAAAACAAAACAAAACAAAACAAAAACATACTCTCATACACTCTCACTCTCTCCCCTCCACTACCCTGGAATTTTTACTTGTGAAAATAATCTTTTTAAGTACTCTGAATATAAATTAAACTGAAGCAGAAAACACTAAATAATTTCATGTAGAACACTGGTTGTTTTTAAGCGTTAACAAGAAAGGATATAAAATGATTCCCAAGGGAAGTAATAATTATGGTAAAAACAAACATTAGGATCACTGCTACTTTTAGCCCCACATATCCCCATTGTACATCCAAAGATGATGAGTCATCATCCACATGAAGCTCTAAATGCAGAGAACAAATTCTACTTCTTGCCCTTCAGTACTGCAGCCACTGCTGACAGAGCCTGTTGCTTTTGGGGTTTTGCAAATTGGTCCTGAAGTTCATTTAAAATCTTTATCAAAGAATCCTGGGTATGATAGTTAAGACCTTGTATCTGTGAAAAATAAAACATTTAGCCAGGCATGGTGGCAGACACCTGCAGTCTCAGCTGCTCAGAAGGTTGTGGCAGAAGTGCTCAAGCTCGGGAGTTCAAGGTTACAGTGAACTATGATTGGGCCACTGCACTCCAACATGGGTGACAAAGCAAGACTTTGTCTCTAAGAAAAAAAAAAAAGTATTTTTCCAAAGCGACTGCTGCAGTTATTTCTCCTCTGCTCAAGGTCACGCTTCCTGATTAATGGAAGTATCTCAGTCTGTCTTAGAATTTCTGCTCAGATCTTCTCAATTAAATTTATTGTACTTCTATTATCAGACAGACACATGGGCTATCCTTCCCTACTCCATGAAACACCATGAATTGTACTTTAAGTCAAATATTTATGCAAAACACAGTACCTGCTTGTACCTTAGTCATTAATGCTAATTTTTCAAATTGCACGCTGGACTATCCTAGAGATCATTTAGGGATTTTTTTTGCACTACACTACTTGTGCACTCCCAACCCAAAATCCAGGACAGCAAGAGAAGTACTGAAAGTTTTTCAGAGTCTCAAGGATTCAAAGATTAAGCAGGCTACTGGTGTAACACTGCTTTGCTAAGAAAGAAAAACGCTAACTGCAACCATTTAGTCAGTGTAAAGCAAGTGCTAGGCACCCAGACTGATGCTTTCTGTTCACGATTTCATTTAATCCTCACAATAAATGGCATTACTTTGCAGAGATTATCCCCATTTTATGCATGTGGACACTGAGATTAAGTCAAATGCCTAAGTTTATAAAACGAATAGGTGGCACAGCTGGCTAAGTTGACTCCTAGCCCAGACTGTAATGCCTCCCTCAGGACAGAGGTCACCAAATGACCCCTGCCTGGTCCCAGGTGGAAGGTCACGTTAAGCTGAAGAGTAGTCCTAAAATACTTGAAATGTAAACTGTTAACCAAATGAGGTAAATCTAGAATAAGAAGCAAAAAGTAAATCCAGTGAAAAGCTCACCATTCTCTCATCTATCTTCAGGGAGGTATCCTCTCTTACTCCTATGCTTCATCGACGAATTTCAAAAAAAAACAACAACATCCTTTTCATTGAGTCAGCTTTTGGACACTTTATTGCACTTAATTTTTTATACATCCATTTCCCAAACAAGACATGTTCATTCATCTTTTTAATCCTCATGGCTCAGCACAGGGCCTGACACACAGTAGGCACTGAACAAATATTTGATCTCCAAAGCATGGCCATTCATGCATCCATAATCCTCTTTTTATAGTATAAAGACAGACGATATTCAGGCCCCCATGTATATTTTAAGGAATATGTAATTCCCAATAAGCTCTTCTTTTTAAAGGTGAGAAACCGTTCTAGTGTTCAATTTCAAAATCAAGATGACATTCAGGTGAGTGTATCAGGTGTCCTCATTAAGACAAATACCAAGCCTTATTTGCCTGCACACCACTGCCTTTTCCCTTTCCTTCATGTTATCTGTCCATATGAAAGCAAAGGTTTTATTATAGTTTTCACCATCTGTAAGAGCCCTGAACAATTTTTGATCCTGTAAGGGCTTTTTACTTCAGTTTTTGTCACCTATGAAAGCTGTATGTCGAGACTGAAGATTATCGACTATCTTCTCTTCTATTTCTATGCCTTTTTCTATTTCTTCCTCTGATAGCAGTAACTTGGTTTCCGAATCTTTGGTTACAATAAACACAAAGGACTGTCGTGACTCAAGGATATTAGCCACAACCACTTGATGCTGATAAATTTCCAAAGCCTTCCGAGCTCGATTAATTACAATGGAGGGGTCAGTCTCCAACTTAAAGGAAATTATAAATGCTTTGGGAGCCCAATCTTTAACCAAAGGAGAAAGCATTTTTGGCACCATCTTCATTGTTATCTGTATTGGAAAAAGAAAAGCTTAATAAGCAAACAATGGTCATTACCTACCAGATCAATCTCATGGGAAACTATGGAAATGAAGGAATCAAATTTAAGTGGGATTTCTCAACTGTCAAACTTTTCAATTAAATGCTGTTTTAAAAGCCTTGGGGAGGGGCTTGGCCTGTAATCCCAGCACTTTGGAAGGCCAAGGTGGGTGGATCTCTTGAGCCCAGTTCAATACCAGTCTGCGGAACATGGCAAAACTGTGTCTCTACAAAAAAATTAAAAAATTAGCCAAGCATAGTGGCACCCACCTGTAGTCCCAGCTACTAAGGAGGCTGAGATGGGAGAATCACTTGAGCCTGGGAGGCTGAGGCTGCAGTGAGCTGTGATTGTGCCACTGCACTTCAGCCTGAGCAACAGAGTGACACTTTGTCTCAAACAAACAAAAAAATCCTTGGCTCTGTAGAGTTCACAGTGATGCCTAAATTCAAGGCTCTATACATATTCTGGGGCAAACCACGTCTTCTGAATAAGCCCTGACCTGCTCTGCTACCCTTATCACCATTAGTATTTCCCCAAGCATGCCCCTTTATTTTTGAACCAAACCCTCAAATAAACAAATAATCTGTTCATACAAATGTTACTTTGGCAGAAACCAATAAAAATTGGTTTGTTTTTTTGAGACCAAGTTTCACTCTTGTTGCCCAGGCTGGAGTGTAATGGTTCAATCTTATACCACTACAACCTCCGCCTCCTGGGTTCAAGCAATTCTCCAACCCCAGCCTCCTGAGTAGCTGGGATTACAGGTATGCACCACCACACCTGGCTGATTTTGTATTTTTAGTAGAGCCAGGGTTTCTCCATGTTGGTCAGGCTGGTCTCGAAGTCCCAACTTCAGGTGACCTGCCTACCTCAGCCTCCCAAAGTGCTGGGATTACAGGTGTGAGTCACAGCGCCCAGCCTACGGTTGGGTTTTTAAACCTCTCAGCCTAAAATATTTCTTGCACTGGTAGAATGAGATTCCATTTTTAAATTGTCACTTGTAACACAGCTTAGCAGTGAGGAAACCGATTTTATTTTCACTTGACCAAAACTCCTACTACCTCATTCCCGGTCCCTTCTCAGGGTAATGTTGAGTTGTTTTGTTACTTTTTTTTTGAGACGGAGTTTCGCTCTTGTTACCCAGGCTGGAGTGCAATGGCGCGATCTCGGCTCACCGCAACCTCCGCCTCCTGGGTTCAAGCAATTCTCCTGCCTCAGCCTCCTGAGTAGCTGGGACTACAGGCACGCGCCACCATACCCAGCTAATTTTTTGTATTTTTAGTAGAGACGGGGTTTCACCATGTTGACCGGGATGGTCTCGATCTCTTGACCTTGTGATCCACCCGCCTCGGCCTCCCAAAGTGCTGGGATTACAGGCTTGAGCCACCGCACCCGGCCTGTTTTGTTACTTTCAAGATAGAACTGCTACTTGGGAAGCTGAGGCAGGAGAATCGCTTGAACCCAGGAGGTGGAGGTTGAAGTGAGCTGAGATTGCGCCACTGAACTCTAGCCTGGGTGACAGAGGGAGACTCTGTCTCAAAAAAAAAAAAAAAAAAAAAAAAAGATAGAACTAAAAAATATAAGATAAACTAAAGATCTCAGAGATTAAAAAGTGTGAAATCACTAAGTTAATCATCAGGATTTCCCCTAAAGAAAAGCTGTTAGTAAGTGTGACAGGGATCCACTTTATTTTTCTCTATAGCATTTATCACTACCAAACGAGGTATGTATTTGGCTTACTTATTGTCTCCTCTGCAAAGGAAGCAACACAAGGGCTGGGTATGTTTCTTTTCACTGCTTTCATCTCCAAGTCCTACAGTAGTGTAGGACCCCAATAAATTATTCTACAAAGTTGGCAAATGCCCCACAGGTAGAGTTTCTAATACAATCCTACCTGTGTCACCCAATAAATGACTAAGAACTCCCAAAGGTTCCAAGAAACCAGATCATCTAAAATCACAACCACATCTACCTTCTCCATATTTCTTCCTTAAACTACAATAGCCCCCAACTAATCTATCCACTCTTTCTCCCTCTGTACTTCATCTTTCATACTGATGCCAGAATGTTGCTCTCAAATAAAAACTCATTCTCCTACTTAGGTGTCCCTTAGCTTCACAAGAAAAAAAGCCTCCTTAAAAAAGGAAAACTAAGTCTTCTACAAAGCAAGCCATCTCTTCAGTCAAGCTCTCCAGCCTTACCAAAGCACTTTGGTTCACAACCCGCTACCCACTTCCAAATTCCAACTGCCATACTCTCTACCTGGAATGACCTTTCCCACCTTGTACACTCTCTGCTCATCTTCATTTTTATTTTTTATTTTTGAGACAGTCTCACTCTCACTGTCACCCAGGCTGGACTGCAATGGCATGATCTTGGCTCACTGCAACCTCCACCCCCGGGTTCAAGGGATTCTCCTGCCTCAGCCTCCTAAGTAGCTGGGATTACAGGTGCGTGCCACCACACCCGGCTAGTTTTTTTATTTATTTTTATTTTTATTTTTTTTTAGTAAAGACGGGGTTTCACCACGTTGGCCATGCTGGTCTTGAACTCCTGATCTCAGGCGCTTCGCCCACCTCAGCCTCCTAAAATGTTGGGATTACCGCAACCGGCTCTGCTCATCTTTTAAAACCCAGTTCAAGTCATCTCCTCCAAGAAGCTTCATCGACTCCCCCAGAATTTACTCGCCCCATGGTCTGACTGCACTTTGTACATACCTCCACTAGAGCATTTATCACTCTGTACTGTAATTATGTCTGTGTCCAGCTCCCTCACTACATTGTGAGGTCCATGAGGGAGGGTGGTGTCTTATTCATCTCTGTATCCCCTGTGCCTAGCGCATACAGATGCAGAAAGGCCATCTCCAGATCAAGAGGAAATTAACCCAAGATTGGTTATATGGGATCAGATCTCTGGAAGAGAAGCGCCCATCACCTGCAGTGGGCCCCCAGATGACTGGATCTTGTGTTCAGGCATTTCAGAGACAGGAACATAGAAATCTGACACGGCCGCAGCCAGGTAAAACATCGCAGAAGGGCCTGCAAAGAGAAGAACAAGGTGTAACAAACAAATCGGAGAGGGATATACGATCAGCGTCTTTTCAGCTCGGATTCCCCAGCTTAGATCCGTGGGTAAGCAGGAGGTAAGGGGACAAGTGGCTGGAGAGAAAGGAGCTGCTTCCAGGCAAAAGGGATACTCCTAGGGCACGCACCTAGCGGATTGAGTGCCTGGGCCGCAGCCTGCAACAGATGCAAATAGTCCGCCAAAGTGGTGAACTCTACAGCCAGGAAGGTGCCTGCAGCCGCAGCCTCCTGGTAGCTCCGCAGAGCCTCAGCAAAACCCGGGAGTGCGTTCTCCTCGGCCTCCAGGCTCAGCAAGCCTGAATGGGCTGGGCCCGAAGGCCGCAGAGCTGACAGCCAAGTCTGGGGTGGGAAGCGGTGGGCATAGGGGAAGGCGGAGCGAGCGCGATACAAGAACAGGACCCCGTAGCCGGCGGCTAGGAAGGCCTCAGCCGAGGTTGCACCGCGCCGCCCGCTGCTGAAGTTGTCCAAAAAGCGCACGGGCCGCGCTTCCAGTGGGACCTTGGTGCCGCCAGACGTGACCAACACCACCCGCCGGCCCTGCGCGCCCAGCCCGGCAGCGAAGCGAGCCATAACCTCAGCCCAGCGCGCGGCACCGGGAGGCTGGGGGAACTCGGCTACCAGGTCCATTTCCGCTATCGGCGCCGCAGCGCACTGCGCCTGCGCACGCTCCGCGGCCGCCGTGCCACGCCCCTTCTCACGTGCCTGGTGCTCGCGCCGCGCGACAGTGAGTGGGCGGTTCTCTGTTCTTGTTTTGACCCTAGGTCCCGATCTCGCCGTGTCTGGAAATGCGTAGTTGTTCTGCCCTAGAGCCCAGCGGACGTGACACTGAAACGAGGGGGATCCCCGGCTGGGTGGGCATCTGGTAGGGTCGAGCTCCTCACGTTCGTTTTCTAGCCCGGGTGAAGAACTATGTTTGACCCTTACCGGTCCCCGTACACGTCTTCCGGGACGTGGATTTCTTGAGAGCTGTTTCTCGGCCTTTGACGCCTGGGACTTGGGGTTTTGCCTCCTTTTCTTTCCTTTTTTCCCTTTTGCAGCCTCGACAATAGACCCCAGATGTTAGTCGAGTCACGTCCCGCCGCCCTTTGCCCTTGAAATACTCGCAAGGACGCGGACCCGCGATCGTCACGTGACGCCGGAATTCGGCGTCTCCTTGCCGGGCAGCGAACGGTCTTAGAGACCAATACCGCTTGCTGTACCATGAATGTGATCTACCCACTGGCGGTGCCCAAGGGGCGCAGGCTCTGCTGTGAGGTGTGCGAAGCCCCAGCCGAGCGGGTGTGCGCCGCCTGTACAGTCACGTATTACTGGTAGGCCCCGAAACTGGCACCTGCGCGCTCTAACTCCTTCCCTCTCTCCCAGTCCCTGGTCTGGCTTGTGTACCTTGCCTTAGCGGTGGCCCCTGGCTCTGCAAGAGACACCTCAAAACGGCTTTAAGACAGGCTCCTAAGATTTCTATGGCCTCGTCTGCCTCATCTCCCATTTACTTATTCGTCACTCATGTTTTCTGAGGGCCTGCTATGTGTTAGGCACTATTTTAGGTGAAGTTACTGGGGCAGCTCAGTAGATCAGTTCTTTCAGAGATTCAACATTCTAACGTGGGAGACAAATCAGTAAAGAAATAGGCCCGGCCCGGTGGTTCACGCCTGTAATCCCAGCAGTTTGGGAGGCCGAGGCCTGCGGAGCGCCTGAGGTCACGAGTTCGAGACGAACCTGGCCAACATAGTGAAATCCCATCTCTACTAAAAATACAAAAATTAGAAGGGCGTGGTGGTGGGCACCTGTAATTCCAGTTAGTCGGGAGGCTGAGGCAGGAGAATCACTTGAACCCAGGAGGCAGAGTTTGCAGTGAGCCAAGATCGCGCCACTGCACTCCAGCCTGGGTGACAAAGTGAGACTCTGTCTCGAAAAGAAAAGAAATAGAAAACGTAATTTCAGGGAGTAATAGATGTCATAACATAAATAAAGGAAATGCGAGGGAAGATTGGGCAGACAGCTTCCCTGAGAGTAGACTACTGATCTGAAGATAAAGTAAGAACATTGCCCATGGAAATGGCTGGAGGAAGAGTGGTACAGGTAGGCGCTGAAAATAAAAGACTGATGTGTTTGAGAAATAGAAAGAAGGCTAGTTGGTCTGGTACACAGCTAAGATGGTGAGGGTGTAGGGAGGGTAGCACAAGATGAGGTCAGTTTTCATGGATCCAGCATAATATCCCTTGACCGTTTGCTTCACATGAGATCGTATTTGGGGCCTGAAATAAAACAGTTAGGTTGCTGATATCCAGAAATCTGGTTTAGAGCTGAGTGACTTTGTTTGTTTCCTAAGTCATAAACCTGTTTGACAAATGTATCAGTCAGGGTGTGCTAAACTCTGGGACCTCTGATGATGGAAGCATAGTGAATGGGGCAGTATGTGGAAAGCTTTCTCTGTAGAAGAAACATTGGAGCTGCATTTTGAGAGGGCAGTCAGAACTTGCTGTGTACAGGAATAGTGAAAAAGGGCAGGACATTCCCCGAATCCAGAATGTTAGGGCAAATGACAAAAGAACAGAGTTTACTAAGAGCTGAGTGGAGAACATAGTGGTGGAGTGAGCAGTCAGTGATTTTCAGACTGCAGGCCAGGACCCTTTAGCAGTTCATGAATAAGTCACAACCACCATTTAGAGAAAACAACAACAAAAAGCATAGAATGAGTAGAAAGTATCAGGTTAATCCTACGTGAATTGTTTCTTGAAACTTTTGTCTTAGTGTTTTATGTGGACGTGTGTGTACAGGGAAAATGTATTTCTTAGTATAGGTTGGGTCAAAATTAGCCAGGCATGGTGGTGCACACCTGCAACCCCAGCTACTCAGGAGGCTGAGGCAGGAGAATAGCTTGAACCCAGGAGGTGAAAGTTGCAGGGAGCTGAGATCGAGCCATTGCATTCCATCTTGGGCAACAACAGCGAAACTCTCTCTCTCAAAAAAACCTGATCATTGTGAAGTTTAAACCAAGAAGATAAAGGTTAGGGCCAGACTGTGACATGAGATCAAGGGTTTGGAATTTATCCCCTGGGAAACCATGGATGGTTTTGAGCTGGCATGCTCTCATTTGTGTTAAGGAAAGAGGATGGGCTGCAGTGTGGAGCGTAGAGAGGAAGGTGGACACTGACAGCTGCGTAACAGATTAAGAAGCTGTTGCAGTACCTTCTCATACTGGCTGAGGTGTTCCTCCTCAGTGTTCTCAAAACACTTAGTATGTCCCCTATCCTAACATTTAGGTCATGGACTGAAATCATTCATTTCCTTTATTAGGCTGTATGCCCCACAAGGGCAGGAATGGCTTCTGTGTTTTCCTTGCTGTCTCCTCTTTGGTGGCTTCATTGCGTTTAGAATACAATTAAGAATTTGTAACAGAAACTATAAGGCCCTGGCTATTTCTCTACCTTCATTTCCCACCACACTCACCCATTTTTTTTCTTTGCTGTTGTTATAGAGAACTGAAGTTCTAATTTGCTAAGCCCTTTGTTCCCTCAATTTCTTTTCCCAGACTGTTTTCTCTGCCAGGAACCTCCCCTTCAACTACAAACCTTCCTGGCTCCCTTTCATCCTTCAGTTCTCAGTTTAAATGTCATTTCTTCAAAGAGGTCTAAACCCAGTCTCAACTCCCATCATTCTTTTCTGTCTCACAGTACCGTTTTTCTTTGCTTTTCCTGTACTTTTATATTTTTGTGTTTGCTTGTCTGATGTCTATGTCTTTTACTAGACCCTGTGCCCACACATACCAGACATTCAATGAACGTATGTTGAATAAATGAACTTCTGAGTGGATAATAAACCCGTTAACTTGGGCGAGGAACACGGGGAAAAGATGGTGGGTGTCAGATTTGAATGTTGGCAAAGAGTTTGAGAGGCCTTTGGGTCACCCCTGGAGTGATGGCCAGTAAACAGCTGTGAGTACAGACCTGGCACTCAGGCTTGGGAAAGAGTCAACCCCCTTTGCCTGATATGAGCACTGACTTTTTCCTTTAAACACCACTGTCCTCTTGATACCTCCAGCTGGAAGTAATTCCTTCTTCCTCTGAACTAACTTTACAATACTCTTATCTCTCAGATGATTGGTATTTCCCCTCTTCATTTTAATTGTTGGTGAGTGTGTTATTTCAATTTTGTTATGCTCCATTAATGCCAGATACTATGTTAAATGTGTACAAAGGGACTGTCATACCTATGCTAACTTTTTATCTATGTCTAACCTGTCAGTGTATGCCCCGTAATCTCTAGCAAAGTGTCTTGAAATAGTTGGCACTTGTGCTTTTATTCCTTGGGCAAAAGAATAAAAACATGAAAAAGAAAGAAATAGTTGTCACTAATATCTGATGAATTCATGTATAAATTATCTTCTATACCCTTATCCTCAGTTTTTTTCTTTTAATTCTCTTTAAGACTTTCTCCTTTTCTTTTTTGATTCCTTTTCTCCAGAGTTCTGTGTCTTTCTGTCTTGGAGATTTCAAGATTTTTTTTTTTTAAGGTGGGGTTTCACCATGATGGCCAGGCTGGTCTCGAACTCCTGACCTCAGGTGATCTGCCCACCTCGGCCTCCCAAAGTGCTAGGATTATAGGCGTGAGCCACAGCGCCTGACCGATTTCAAGATTTTTTGATAAAACAAAACTGAGGTCGTTGTTCTGTAGATTTTGATGATTGAGTGTAAAGCGTCTAATACCCTGCCTGGAATCACATTGGCGCACAATAAATGTTCTTTTTCATCATCCTAAGTTTAAGGAGGAAGAAAGTCAGTTTGAATTTGTGAAAGATTTTTTCTGTGAAAGAATTTTTTTCCTGATTATAAATGCAATTCATGCACACTGCAGAAAACATGAAAATACAAAAAATAAAGAAGAAAAATAATCCATAATCCCACAACCTAGAGATTAATATCCTGAAATTTTAGTGAATTTCCTTCTGTTCCTTTCTCTGAATACATTCATTTTATATATTGTGTGCAATCTTGTGCATATTGCTTTATATTGGATTATGACCATTCTCAGAGAATAGCACATTTTTATTTACTTAGAGACACAGTAGAACTTTTTTTTTTTTTTGGAGATAGAGTCTCTCTCCAGACACCCAGGCAGGAGTGCAGTGGCACAGTCTCCGGTCACTACAACCTCCACTTCCAGGTTCGAGCAATTCTCCTGCCTCAGCCTCCTGAGTAGCTGGGATTACAGGCATGCACCACCACACCCAGCTAATTTTTTTTGTATTTTTAGTAGAGACGGAGTTTTACCATATTGGCCAGGCTGGTCTTGATTTCCTGACCTTGTGATCCACCTGGCTTGGCCTCCCAAAGTTCTGGGATTACAGGACAGTAGAACATTTTTAAGAAAAGATAATTTTATGGAAGTACATACTAAAACACTGACAGGTAAAAGAGACTTCAGTACCATAGGTTTGCATGAATTTAAATGTCTTTAGGCAGGGCATACGTTCTGTAATTTTCACTACAAATACTATTGCTTCCTGTTACCGAATACCACTTCACCATTTGTTTTCTCCTCCTGGCCAGTGAAGGCATATTTAAATTTGTGCTCCATACATCAAACAAAAGGAAAAATTATTGCAAAAAAATTGCAGATACTAGGAAAATAAACAGTGAAGTGGCATTCAATAATAGGAAGCTATAGGATCAGTGGTGAATTGTAGAATGAATGCCCTGCCTAAAGACATTCATATTCAGCTTTAAAAAAATATGGTAATAGCCAAACAAAACATGTCTCTCTCACAAGGTACTTAATTGTGATCCCTGATTGAAAGCATTTATCCATTCCTACTTTATCCATGACCCTATGAGAGGTGTTAGTGGTGGGACAGATCAATAAGCAGGGAGCCCGCAAATATATAAAGCTCGGTTTATTTAGAAAGGCAAGATACGTCAGTTGCTCTCAGTGGAACAAAAGTTCAGGCATCGAAGTTAACATTTCTGTTGCTTACAAGCCCCACTTGATAAATTCCCTGTGGAACTCAGCTATATCCTGGCTAAGTGCTTTTATTGATCTGTTGACAGTAATTCTCTACCTCCCCCAAAACTTTTTTTTTTTTGAGACAGAGTCTCACTCTGTCACCAGGGCTCGAGTGCAATGGTGCAATCTCAGCTCACTGCAACCTCCGCCTCCTGGGTTCAAGCAATTCTCCTGTCCCAGCCTCCCAAGTAGCTGGGATTACAGGTGCCCGCCACCATGCCCAGCTAATTTTTTGTATTTTTAGTAGAGACAGAGTTTCACCATGTTGGCCAGGCTGGTCTCAAACTCCTGACTTCATGATTTGTTCACC